TTTTATTAAATTTTGTTTGTTTTGTTTTAGGGGGGGGTTGTTGTTGTTGGTGTTGTTGCTTTGGGGTTTGGGGTGTTTTGGGGGTTTTTTTTTGTTGTTGTTTTTTTGATTGTTTGTTTTTGCCATAAAAAGCCTGTAAAATGAAAATCATGTGAAAACTTAACTGATAGTCATCACCTGGTGATTCTCACTAGCAAGGCTGGTGGTAGAAGACTGAAACCTCTTTTATGGTCTTGGAAATTGTTTCTGGTCTGAGAGAGAATAGAGATGAATTCTATGACGAATTACATGGATCACATTTCAGGTAATAACCAAATTGTAAACAGTCCCATAGTTCCTATCTAATTCATGAGTGAGAAAATAGCTGAACTGTGAAAGCAAAGTTGCAGGTTTCCACATTCCCTTCCCAGTTTTGTTTGACAGCTAGAAGAGGAAAGCATTGGTCTTGATTACCAATACAAGACACAGCCTGCAAGAGCAGCACAGAGTTTCTAAGCCTGGATGGGAATACTGTTAATTTTCATGGAGCAGTATTTTCAGTGCTCAACAGTTTGATCTTTTGTCCATTTTGGACTGGCCTCTTTTTTTTTTTTTTTTTTTTTTTTTTTTAAATTTTCATATAACCTCTATAAATTAGGAACCCCTCACCTATGAGTACAGAAATATAAAAAAATTAATGATCACCAGATGAGAAACAGATGAAGGACACTTGAGCCAAATATTTACATTTCTGTGATAGAGATCTAGCCAACATAAGCACATAATTTGCATCTACATTTTTGGCACCTAATGAAATAGTCTTTTTAAAGTAACCACCTTATTTCCCTATTGACAAGTACATGTCTTTGAAGGTCTCCCAAGGAAGTATGCTCAGTGGAACAGAAGCACCTAAAGTTCTCTCCATCAGATGAATAAGAAACTCTGGCAATATTTGTCTGCTCTCAAGGCCTCTATTTGTCAGTGGCTGGAACGTCTCAGTGACTGATCAGAAAACCTAAACTTGTTTTAGCAACCACCTGCAGCCTGGCCTTCCCTACCTGTTTGCTGAAATAAAATGGTGTTTAGGAGATTGCATGAATGCACAGACACAAAAAGCTTTGGCAAATCAATGTTAGTTTTAAATATGTCAAAATTCAACTGCTGAAGAGAGCACCCTAACGGATACCATAATGATTACATGCATTATTATTTTTTTCCTTTCACAGCCAAGAAGCTTAAAATACTCAAAAGCATTAATTGAAAGAGAGGGGGTAGTCATTACTGCCTTTTATGCCCACAGTTGTCTATTTAAATGCCTATTTATGTATTTATAGGACAGTACCCAGCAAAATACACACAGACACACAAATGTGCAGACCCAAATATTCATATTGCTGAAATTACATAGCAAGTCTGGAGATTAGACCAGAAATAGAATTCAGATCTCTTGATGCAAAACCTTTTGCTTTACCCATTTGAGAATAGATCCCCCTAGCTTCACAGACTGTCAGATTAAAATGAAAGAGGAAAAGAATCACAGAAACTTCAAATCAAAGCATGAAATTGAAAATCTGTCAGATCCATAAAATGAAAATTCTCTCCAAAGGAAAATTCTGACACAATCATATTTTCTCATGAAATTGGAACTGGAAATAAGTCATACTGAGGAAAAAAAGAAGAATATTAAGAATAAACCCTCTAGAACAGCATCAGCCACTTCAGTAAGAGAGTCTGAAGGGTTTTGACAAGTACTATGTCTAAGCCAAAAAACCCCAGGGCTAGATCTTCCACAAAAATCAGAAAACTTAAAGGGACATTGTCAAAGTTTGTAGACCAAACATTTGAGCTACTTTAAACTCGGAGTAATACACGAGAATTCATCTTTTTCTTTATTAAAAAGAACAGCTGAAAGATATTCATGAAGAATATGGTGACATAGTTTGCATATTTATTTTCTAACTAAGGATAACAGGCTATGCAACTTTTTTTTTTTTTTTTTTTTGCTTGGTTTTAAAGCCTTGCTTACACTGTAGGTTGAAAGATTACTTTCTAATTAAAAATTAGCATTATTCTTTTTCCTGTGCTCATACCGAGCAAGTTATGGAGAAAGTTGAATGAAAAAAAGTAAGTTAAAATGGGACACAGAGAGGGGGCAGGAGGGGGAAATGTTTATTTTTAAGTGCAGCATGGCATCATTCTGTTATAAAAATCTGGTGCAAACTCATTTTCTGAAGTGCTGAGAACCTACAGATCCTTTGAATTCATCAGGAGATCTGAGCACTCTGCTGACTCCTGGGGAAATCAGGCTGCATTTTTTTAGCTCCTCAACCCTGCAAGAATTTCTTGTCCAGTTAGCATATATGGTTATTCCAGCTGGAGTTAAAGTGACTTCATGGTGGCTTCATTGTCTGTGCAGAGCTTAGTGGCTGGATATCTAAATGAGATAGCACAGATGTAATTAATCTGCTTAAAGATGAATAAAGACTAAAGCCAGCAGTGTGAGATGATCACTTGGCTCCAGTTAATGGAGGAAACAGGTACTTAGTGGGCACAGGCCATCCCTGGCAAGCCCAGCACACAAACCCAAGTGCCAAAGCATTGAGGAACCTGTGTGCAGCCAAACCACTGCAGGAGGTCACAGTGCATCCCATTGACTTACATGAATATCCTTCTGCGTTTTGATGTGCTTGCTGTAGCATTTTCTGCAACATCTGTAAGGAGGGTCAGTACCTCAGATATACACCTCAAAAGCCACTAGGCTAAACAAGATTGTATAAGGGTTTTAAAATAACAGTATTGCTAAATAATCTGACTGCATGCAGTTGGTCCAATTGTTATTGTTTAATTAGTAAATATGCAAAACAGCATTTGCACCGGTTGGTACCTTGTGTATTTATCCACATTTTCCTTGGGATCCTTTTTCCACTTCTAGAACAATTCAGGTTGTGAGCCCATTTACATTGTGGGGACATTTATCTAAAGAAGACCAAAGCCTTCATATTAAAATAAGACCTGTGGTGGGATGTTGCATCTTGGGACTCCAAGGCTTCTGGGTCTTTTTTGCCTTCTTCACAGAAAAGAGAGCAGTTTCCTAGAAGCTTGCCTGGCTCCTGGCCAGGAGTCTCTGTCTCTACAAGTGGGTCTTCAAAACAAGAGCTGGAGGTTTAAGCAGCCTCCCTGTTTCCCATGGCAGCTTCAGCCTGCAGACATCAAGGTGATGTGGATGTGGCCTGAAGAGCCATCTGGCTGGATCCTGTAGTGAATACTCAAGTGAAGCAAAGCTGGGCACTGGAGAGGCCATTGCCAAGCTGGTGTCCATCATGTGGCCAAGGGACAGCTGAGGGGATGACTGACATCGACGAAGAGCTGCGCAGCTCAGCTCAGGGAGTACCTCTGAGCATTGAGAGGGAGGTCTTCACCTTTTTAAGTCCAAACCCCATTGCCAGGCTGTGTGAGAAGGCAGCAGCACTGCCCAAAGCTGTGACTTAGCAGTGAGGTGCACCAGCAGGAACTCCTTGACCCATAGCACTGCAGAGACACAGAAGATCACTGCAGTCCTAGCACACAGAGATCTTCTCCAGGGAGCTGAGACTGACTGACACCCATCCCCTTGGTTTCCAATCTCAGATTCTCAAAGGACATACCTTTTGCTCCTGGGAAAACTGATGGACGTCTTGTTCCTGCCTCTCTCAGAGATGGAGGCTTCAGTCAATCACTCAGAGAGAAAGTACTTCCAAGAAAAGATCTCTCAAGCTTGAAGCTGTCCCACTTCACATGTAATCAGTAAATATTAATTAGGCAAGGAAGAGAGGTAAAAATAACCCCCTCACCATGGAGATTTTTTATGAAATTTACAGATAAGTTTTTTGAAGTGGTGCCTGGATCCTCTTTCTTCTCACCAAATAAATATCAAATTCTCTGTGATGAGAAGAAGCTATTCTTCCCTGCATGGTCCACTTCAAGGCAGGGATGAATTTGATTCCCTCAGGCTGTTTGAGGAGGAATTGAATGCAGATCCAGTATTTTTGGGGTGGTCTTCAAAAAGTGACTCTTTCCACCCCATAGCTAAAAGGCAAGCATAGAGCTCTCTTCCTTTCCAAAGCAACTGGTCTTATTCTTTGCCCACTCAACTCTTGTTTGGAAAAACAGGAAGCAAAAAAGAAAAAAAGGAAGGGTGGGTCAGAGTGGAGGACCAGCTGTAACCAGTGCTGCCGCTGCTTCTAAGAAGCCTTGTGAAGGGATCTTACACATAGAGTTCAGCTTGTGGGCTCCTAACCAGTGCCAGCTGGGAGGATTTCTTTGCTCTGTGAGTATTTGAGGAGAGTGCTTGGTAAGTCCCTGTCCTAGACCCAGTCAGGCTGTTTTCCTCAGCTGGTAAGTTCCACATTTACAAAGGAACATGGATTCCACCTGAAATTACTTCCTTCTTCTGTGAGGAGATAATGATATACTAAAGACCACATTCTTCCCAAATGCAATTCCTTCTGTAGAAACACGGACATGGATCAAGACATAGCTCACAATTCACACAACATCACAAATACATTTGTTTGTGTGGACCTAATTATCAAGACAGATTTGGAGGATAAATTCAGAAAAGTACGGAGCAATGTTTTTGTGGACATTTTTATATTGTCACCTTTGTTAAACTGGCATTAATTTCCTGCTAACCAACAAGTGGAGATCAACTGAGATGTCTTGGTTGAAATAAAAAAAAAAACAAAAAACAGACATCCATGGTTTGTTAAGTTATGCTGGAAAAATAGCAAAGAATGACAAGAAAAGGGTAGCTGAGTCTGAAGCCAGGGAATGCAGAGAAACCTGGATTTTCTAAACCTTAGGAGTATGTAAGGATATACTTCAGTCATGCTGTTGTAGTTCAGCAATCCTATCTATGCCTCTTGGAGTAAAAAGATATGAAACACGTAGCAAAGAGGGGGAGACGCAGCAAGAAGGTACTTGGACTTTAAGAGGGTCTTGAATAAAGTTGACTGAGAGACCAAGAGATAAATTATGCGGATCTTTGGAAACGGGTTTATTTAATTTAGTATTAATCTGGATCTATTGTTTTTCTCACCTCCCTCATTTGTCACTGGGATAATTTGCATAAGGTTTGCCAGGGACCTCTGCATTGCTGCCAGTGAGCAGCCCATGGTGCTGTACTCCCAGTGGGATGTGAAACGAGTCTTGAGTCCCAGATGATGGGAGAAGAGCTGTGGCAGTGTATGTGGTGTCATCCACCTCTCTGCTGCATGCAGAAGGATCCTTTATGACATTATAATTATTTCTCAGTAATTAACAGCATTCCGCAGACACAAGGGAGAAAGAGCAAACCTACCTTGTAAAGCTGGATTTTTATAAGTATTTTTGGCTTCTGGAACTGTTAGGATTTTCCTGTGGGGGCAGGGATCCCTGCAAGGGAAATTGAAGTCTGCTGACAAATCTGTTTTTTCTTTGTCTCTCGAGGAAGAGGCTGGGAAGCTGTTTATGGGCTTTAGAGGGTCTATTCATTTTAATATGATTTTAATTGATTTCTTTGAAGAAATACACCAAAATCCACGTGTTGATCTTGACCTAGTGATCAGTGTTTAGTCTTCAGTCAGGGAAGTCACTGATTAGGGTGAGTGGGAGCAGAGCTTACATGATGAGTTTTATGCAAAATTTCTGTAGTAATAGATATATGGAAAATGTCTGTAGTAATAGATATACACAAAATTACTATACATGAACATTTCATTTAAAATATTATGCAGTAACAGAAAACACACAACCAGAAAACACAAATCATTCTGTTTTCCTCTTCTGAAACAAAATATGATAATAACTGTTGAAACATTTGCTCAGTTAAAGAGAAACTTGCTGCTCAGCAACAGGGATTCACCATCCAGAATTATAGTCCAGTTGCTGCTGGTGAGAGTGGGGATGACAAAAAGGTCTTTAACCCCCTCTGTAGTCAGCCAACAGAGTTCAATACTCCAGGAGTCTAAATGCCTTTGGATTTTCAGACTTGTAGCTGCAGAAGCCATGTGGTTGCTGGTCTTGGAGTAGACCAGCCCATTTGGTGCACAGCCCCTGTGGTCAGCATGTGCTTCGTTTGCTTACAAGAAAAACTGCAGTTCAGATTTGGGGTCTACCAGGAGCCTTGACAGGATCCCATAGGAAAGGCTGTGGGACTCGAAGGTAGGATTTTTTGCTAATCTTTGGGGTAACACTTACATAAGGTAAGCATCTCACTTGCCTTGCACCACCTTCCAAGGAAAGTGCTTTCCTTGCAAGTCAGAATATTCCAAAGAGGGTAGAAATGTATATAATAACCCTCCAGTTGTGGGCACCCCATGGGTAGCCACACTGCTCACAGGTGAATCCCACAGCAACACATACACCACAGGCTTCTGGACAGCCACTGTGACACCACGTCCTATAGGCACGTGTGGGAGGACACTGTGGTCTGGAGAGAGCCCACAGAGTTCTGCTTCCAAGGATTTCACTTCTCCATCCTTCAAACAATAATTGCACTCACTGCCAGCCAAGAAAACACTGTGCATGCTCCAAAATGGTAATGGATGTTAGCACTGGAGACAGTCTAATGCTCCTTTCATTGGCTCAGGAAAAATAAATACGAAAATATTTTTTAACTTTTTATCCTAAATTGCCACAGACTGAGGCAAAAATTTTGGCATTTGTTTTTGTGTGGGTAGACCTCTGCAAATGTCAGGCATTGAGGAGGTTTCTGCACAGCTACTGAGCTGAATGAGACCATTTGAGAGGTCACAACTTCCAGTCCTCCTGTAGGACTTGAAACACAGGCTCTACTTTTCTGTATAGAGAGCAGTTCTTCTTAGCCAAGGAGGCTGTTCACAGTACAGGAGTTTAAACATGGGTGTAAACTTCTGCATGACCAGGTCAGAAGTTACTATCTGAGTGGCTGGTGTGTTATAATTAGCAGTTGTTAAGAGAAGGTCTTAGAGATAAAATCACAGCTCTAACATCAAGGATTATTCAACAAAACAGAGACAAAAGGGGAATTATTAGATTATTAAAGGACTCTACATTTTTGATCATTTTCCCACAGTCATTTATAGTAATCTCTTGGAAGAATCAAACTAAAACGTCAGTCCTCACAGGAAAAATTTGCCAACTCATGCATTTGTTTTGTTAGGTACAGTTGTTCATGTGGGTTCAAGACAGTGCCACAAAATGAAGTTTACATCTGACCTTTGAGAAGTCAAAACTGGTTTGGGGAAACTGCATATAAAATAGTTTAAATGTTTTCCCAAAGTGTATCCCTAAAGCAGGTACTGAGATGCTAAATCCAGCAGTTACAGTGAGTCCTCTACATCAGACTCAAGTCTGTAGCTGCATTTTAGAATCACTCAGGGAGGAAAGAACAACCATGTTTTTCCAGCATGGGTCAGAAACACTAATTAGCTGGGATTGTTTCTCATGATCAGGAACTCAGCAGTTCTCCTTCTGCCTCTGTTAGAGAACTGAGTTGAAGAGTTGCTGCATTAAAATAGCAACAAACAACATCCAAATTCTAAACACCAGTGAGGCTTAAATTTATCTCCCGTAGTGCTTCCTTGTGACAGTGGCGATGACAGCGTCGATTAGATAGGGCTGGCACTTCACACCGTGTGTCACTCCTCATTATCTGATGAGAGCCCCTGCAAGAGGCAGGTGCTGGGGAATGAAAGATTAGGTGCAGCTCGTGTAATCAAGCTAAATCCCCCTCACTACGCTAAATCCCCCTCACTACCTCCACCGAGAGATAACAAAATATAAGCAGCTTTCTCCTTTCCACAAATTCTTCCCCACTTTTGCCGTGCTCATGAGTCTGTGGGTGTAATTACCCCAGCTCACAGCAGAAATCAGCATTTCCAGGGTGAAGGTGGTTCTGGACTGCAAACCTGTATTCCAGACAATTTCTGTTCTCCCAGGAATATGTACAGTCTTAATCATGCAGCCTTAAGCCAACCTGCAGAAGTGCCACTCCCTCCCTTCTGTGCAGATGTTTGAGCTTTTCTTTCTCAGTTTCAGCAGATCCTCTTTAATTCTCCCTAGTGACTCTCTCACTCTCCAAAAATAAACAAATGGATTTTGCAACTGAATGAATGTAATGAGAAAGCAAGGTGTGAGGCTTGGAGACATAGACTGGATTTTGACACTTGCTGCAATTTTCTAGTACCTCTTAGTGTGCTAATCAATGCTTGGCAGCATTGCTACTAGAAACGAAGTTCCAGAGATGATATCTAGAAAACTTCATGGAAAAAAGACAGTAATCTTTCAGTGCCAATTACTGCTGAGAACTTCTTGGGCTTTTTGCACACTTTCAGAAACAAATCACTCCTCAGATTTGAAATGAGAATACTGGCTTTTTGGGAGAGAGCCAGGTCATGCTGAGTAAGACTCAGACACCTGGCTGTGGGAGGAGATTCATGTATGCTAGACACAGAAAAGAAAAAACAGAACTAGCTTTGGGTAGGAATTGACTACCACTTGCTGCTTTCTTGGAGTGTCCATAATGGAGATTGTCTGCAATCTCCTCTTCTATAGAGATACTTGTGGGAAGCCATGAAGGTGGCAACTGGAGTCCATGCATGAGAAATTACAGACCACAAGGAAATGGATGGGCAAACCTGGAACGTTCTGTATTTGCCAGAGTCACAGATGCAGGTTACAGCTGGTGAAATGGCCAGTGTGATGAAAGTAAGAGTTTCACTGGAGGGCTGTGACATTAAAAAGGAAAAGGAGCAGAAAATACTTCTGTCTATCAAACAAAACAGCCTAAAGCCAGTGAGGGAGAAGCACAGTGGTGTGTGGGGAAGGTAAAGAACAGCACAGTGGTGGTGGCCAGAGGCATAGTCAGCACCTGTGGGCACCCCTGCTCTGTTGTGCCAAGAGGCTCCCACACCACTGACCATAAAGTTTAATCATGCCTGGGTGAAGCACTGGAGGATGCACTGTGGAAGGTTCGTGCTGCTGGGAGCTGAACCCCAAGCTCATTTTGACTTTTTTGTCTTACTAAATGTTTATCTGTAAGACCCACATGGCCACCACTTGGATAGATGGTCCCCACCATGCACTGGTGTGACACTGTGGTGGCAGGCAGAAGTTTAGCTGCCTGGTTGAAATGCCTGTCTAAGCATGTCAACCTTCCCAGGAGCTCAGCTGTGCCAACAGTCTCCTTCCAGAGACTGAAACCCAGCCAGGGGCTCCTGTTCTCTACTGGTGTTCTGGATATTTGGCTGAAAGAAAAAAGGATGTTCCTGTTTTACACTCTGGAGAAGTAAATAACTACACTTGGTACGGTGTTGAGCCTGAGCCATGATTTGGGAGGAAGAAGATTTTTCCATGTCACTCTGAGTCACCCCATGCCCCATTTAGTGGGCTCAGAGGAACATCTTCCCCTCCCCAGCAAGAAGCCATGGCCTGCTCACTGGGAGGCAGACAGGATTTGGCAACAGCTGATTGATTTGGCAAACTTTCCCAGACTCCAGGGAATAACATTTAGTCATACAAAAATCCCAGTTGGATCCTTCATACTTAAACCCCTGCCCTCTGCAGTTGAAAAGTTAAATTGGTAAAAATGGCTGGATGACAAAGTAAGGAAAATATGGTACAACAGTCTTAATTTTATTTTTAACAATTGTCACTGTTGAAGTAATATGGACATAACCCTTATTTAGTACTGTACTGTTTGATCTTTGTGGTTACAAAACATGTGTTTCTGTACTGGAGATGAAAATAGGGAAAAAACATCCACTGCTGACTGTCTTCTCAGGAATGGTACTTGAACAAGAAGAATGCATCGAGTCAAACATGTGTTTTTATAAATTGAAATTTCTTCTTTTTTTGTTTTCTTGCATTGAAATCCAGTAATTTCTACTCTGCATAATTGTTTTTCTGTGTGACAGTTGTAACCATGCTGAGTATTTTTAGTGTTGTGCTTATTGCATCTGACACACAAAAAGAATATTATCTGTTTGGCATTTATTAAATGTCACTAGTTTTCCAGCCTTGCAACCTGACCCATCAGCTGAACACCTCTGAGCTCCTCTGAACCCTTGCAAGGCATTTGGCCAATTACTGCAACCTTCTCAAGATAGGCATCTGCCTCTTCTGCATGTGCAACCACTGTGATACCAGAATAATCCAAGTCTTTGGAAACTGTGCTTAGGCTAGGCCTGTGAGAAGAGAGGAACCACTTCTGCACTCAGTCGTACTTGTTACTGATCAACCTGTAAAAACGACTCCTGAAACAATCCCTGAAACAGGGAAGCATTACTGCTCCACTTTCCTAAAATGTCACATGCAAGTAAGTAGATTCTTCTGATGACACGATAGTCTTATATACAAAGGACAGCTCCCCACCACTGTAGAAAAGCAGACTAGCAAGCAGACATAAAAATGTCCCAATATACAAATCAGCAAGTAAAGCCCCTTTTCTATTGTCAAGAGATGGAATAGCAGATATCCACTAATCAGGGCCTTATTTCACTTCCATGTCATGATCCTAAAAGTAAATGCTTTTCCAGGATAAGTAATGGAAATGTTCAAAAGCCAGAGTATGGGAAAGGCAATGATAGTTTTGTGTGCACAGGAAGCTGTCTTCTCTCTAGGTATGAAAATATATCAGATAAATGAGCATTTGACCACTCACACCTTGAAGTCTTTCTGCTACTCCAAAGATGCAGCGGGTAGGAAAAACATCCAAGTCTTGAGCAAAAGTCACAATATGCTCACATGAAAGTCACTTTTACAATAAGTTGTATGGATACACAGAATCTCTATCCCACAAACAGATGTTTGGGATCTGGAACAATGAGCTGTGGCTCAGCATTCATTCTCATTACATGAGCATGGAAATCCCAGAGGAACTAGGAGCTGGCAGTTGTCATAAGCTTTGTGGCATGTCCAGTGGAGGTAAAGAGTCTGTAAGTTTCTAGTGGCCTCTTATAAAGCTGTGGAAAAGAAAAACAAAATCAAATCCATACAAGAGAGTAGTAGAGAGGGTAGATTTTACAAAACTTTTCTAAAAAGGTTCTCAAGACTAATTGTATGAAGTGGTTAGAAAAGTGTAACAGACTTTAAGATAAGCTCACCAGTTCTCAGAGAAGAATGAGTATGAAGTGGCTAAATGCAGTGTAGTGCTCTATCCTTCAGCTGAGTAAAACCTGGTATTAGTCCAAGCACACTGCATATTGTGTACAGGATGCCCATGGAATAGACCATATATCATTCTGTGTGCATAAAAATGGAAGCCAGATGAAGAACTGCAAAACTTGGCCACAGGTGTCAGGTTCTGACGTGCCTAGCAGACAGAGATGGTCCAGCCCAATATGTGTTTGATTGGCCTCAGAACTGCAAGAATTTGGAGGTTTTAACAAAGCAACGTTCAGTGTGTCAGTCAGACTGAGAATAGTCACATTCCTGGCCTTTTCTTTATTCTGTCTCTTATTTTAGAGCTGACAAACACAAAAGACTCCTCCGTGTCCTTTGCAGGACTCTGACATGAAAACCACCTTCAAATCTTCCCTGCCATCTGAGGGAGAGGTAAAGAGGGAATGAAGGGAGAGATGACATGTCATTGGTGTGTGAGTGAAAAAGTAGCTGGAAATTGCTGTGCTGGGGGTTGATTCGGAGCACTGACTCAAAACTGCTGAGAGTGTCAGCCGACAGCAGCGCTGCCAAACCCAGGAGGATGACACCCCGTGAAGGGTGACCTAGGGCTCTTACCCAGCTTGCTTTCCCACATGGCTAACGGGCTTTCATAGCCACCAGCTGTTTGTTTATCTTGGGGCTTCTAATTGTTGTTATGGTAATAATTAAAATTTGCAGTCCAAAACTTACTTTGTCCTTACCTACTCAATTATCTAGACAGCCCACACTGGAGGAGAGAAATTATCCATACTACTGAAACTGCAGCCTGGATTCCTGGCTTTTTATATTTTAGAACCAGGCAAACACAAAGTACTTGTCCTACTTTCTAGTCAGTAAGCTGAAATTCAGCATGTTTAATTATAAATCAAATAATTGACTACAAAGCTATTGTGGTATGGCCCTCCATGCTGTTGATGGTTTTAATTGCAAACTGTTACATGATGTGCTTCAGTAACAAAGAGTGAGCCCTGAAGTAGCAGAGGAAATGTCCTACTTTGACTCTATTTTTACAGTCAGGATGCAGGAAATTTTCTGGTGTGTCACTCCTCTCCACTATGGACATGGACAAGAGAACTGTAGGCCACACAAGATGCCGGTGGAGGCCGTGCTGTGTTCAGAGGGACAACCCAGGAGCTCGCTGTAGACTGTTCCTGCTGCCCCCTCCTCAGGACCCACTCTCAAGAGAGTTCCTCCCAATAACCAAAGAGGAGCTTGCATGGCTCATCCTGGAGGGTGAGGATGAGACAGACTACAGTGTGTGCACCGAGCACTCTCATCACACCAGACAGCACCCCTGGATGGCAGCCATGGAGAGGAGTGACTAGAGGCTAAAGCTCACAGCCTCCTCAGTGCCCACGATCTCACTCATTGCATGAGAAGGCAGGTGCTGCTCTCCCCCCTCTCTGGACATAAGGTTCCCAATAGCCCCACTGCCCTGTTAAATAAGCCAGTAAAGTAACAATGCTTGACGCCAGGGCATGTAAAACGAGTCTCAGGGGGAGCTGGAGTCTTTCCTTCTCTCAGGCCTTCCAGTGGTGTCAGGCCCAGGGTGTGCACATATTGAATCTTCTGGGAAATGGTGACACCTGCTTCTGCTGGGCTAGACCAGCACCCTGGAACAGACTGCCCAGAGGCATTGTGGTTTCTCCATTCTTGGACACACCCAAAACTGAACTGCACGTAACCCTGAGAAACGTCTTCTACCGGGAGTTGCACTGAGCACAGGACCTCCTAAAGCCTCCTCCACACTGTTTTTTGGAGAAAGTTCTTCACAAAGCAGACAGTAGGGTGTTTTCACTGAATTGTGTCTTCAGTGGTGAGAAAGAGACAAAAGTTTGGGTCCTTATGCACAACTGTACCAGGCAGCAGCTTCTCTGTCAGTTCCTCCAGAGGTCCTGCACGCTCCTTTCCACTCATCTCACCCATGTATTTCCACCCTTCTCACCAAGCTTCCCACCAGGCAGATAAGTATTATCTGGAGGAAGGTTTTGGGAAGGTGCTTGAGCACACTGAAGTGAGAAAGACAAATGAGATTTTTCCTCAGCAGATTAGCATGAACTATGAATGATCCTTACCTGCACTGGAGCCAGGACCAGCTCAGTTTGGGCCAACAAGTGCTCATGAGGAAGGGGCATCAGCCCTCCAGTGCCTCAGGAGGATGAGGAGGTTGGGAGGAGCTGGGGAGGTGCTTGCTTAGAAGTAAAAGGCAGTGCTGGTGGCAGGTGTTTTTTAAAGATGAGGACAGGTCCAATTTCACCAGATCAAGAGAAGTGAGGAAGGGAGAAAAAACGTGTAGCTAGAGAGGCACAGGACCTACTAACAGGAGAGACAAACTGCAATTCTCTTTTCTCATTTCCTGTCCACAACTCTGCTCATCCCTGTGAATCTGTACCTGGATGGGAGGCCTTCTCAGAAGCAGCTGTAGACTTATTTGCCTTCTTTTTCTTTTCATTCCCAGTGGGATGGAAAGCAAATAATAATAAAAAAAATACTAATGGGAAAAAAATAAAGAAAAAAGAGAGAAATGAAACCCTGATGCAGCATTGCTCACCGCTCCCTGGTTTGTGCCCAGCCCAGCTCTGGATGGCAATCAGTCCTTTCTGGATAACTCCTTAGAAAAGAAATCTTGAAAGCTGCCACCAAACTGGACTGAAAAACACTGTCTCCTTCACCCATGGACAGGAAAATCTGGAGCCTTCCTTTGTTGAATGCAGAGACTGAGCAGAGCCAATTACCTGCAGTGCCAAATAGTGTTACAGCAAGTCTTTGGGCAGAATAAATATAAAATCCTCCAAGTCAGCTACGACATATTTCAGGCATATTTAGTCATTGAAGCTGAATATCCCCAGCTGTGTTAAACTGTTAAGCTGTTGAGTTTCCGTTTGCAAACCACTAACAAAAAGTAAGCTAAAATAGTCTTGCTGGGCCTGCTCTTGCCTAGCACTGCTGAGGAAAATGAAACTTAAAGCCCAGATCGTTTAATGTTTCTTGAGAAATCACCCCAAGTCCTCCATGCTGATGATGTGTTCCAGTACCTTCCCCCTAGAGAAGATTTTTGTTTAGCAGTGTCTACAGATGTGAATCCTTAAATAGGGACAAGTGCTAAGTTTATTGCATTACAGATTCTCTTTGACCTTACTCTGCTGGGTTACTGGTGTGGTTGTGCTGAACAGACCAGCTCTGTGCCCAGGGAATAGTTTTGGTCCTGCATTTCCTTAATGAGAGAGATCTCTTTTCCTGTCTCTTGCATGAAACAGCAGTTTCTAGGCAGTATTGACTTAAAATCCTTTATTTTTACATGACTAACTATAGCAGCTAATCATTTATAAAGCTAAATGGTTGAGATTATTGTGAGAGCTTGAAGTCCAAACTCCATTTTTTTTAAACTGAACTGCAGCCTATGCAGACCTGAAGACAAAAGCTCAGAGTGTGTAGGAGGGGAATCAACAGGACCAACTAACAGACAAATCTGTGATTTCAGGCTAATATGGGGGAGTATAAATCTCCCTGAGCTTTTCGTTATTTTGCTGTGAAGTGTTAGTGGGGGAGAGATGTTTTCCCTCTTTTACCCTCCCTGGTGTGCACTGACCTGGGCACACCCGTGCCAGTGTCTTTTCAGCTGTCATAGGCATGCTGGAGGCAGGTGATCCTCCGCCAATGAAGACTGATGCAGTGGGTTTTTTTCTTGATGGATGGCTTTTTAGCAAGGTCCCCTTATGCTGTGGGGCCCATGTGTGGCAATTCAGGGAGTCTGGATGGCCCAAGCCTGCTGGAGCTGTGCTGAAGCAGGGTGGCTCCTGGTGGCAAGAATAAGGAGGAAGAGGAGAAGGAGGTGAGGATTCAGGAGGCTTGAGGCCCTGCTTTCAGGCAGCAGTGGCTTCCTGTCTGCCAGGACATGGCAGAGATGCCCAGCTTCAGAGCTCCCTGTCGCCTGGGGAAAGGAGGAACCCATGCTCTAGTGAGGGTCCTGTCACTGCTGAAGCAAGAGCTCTGTGTGAAGTTTGACCCAGTGGAGCAGTGGGTTTCTCTTTTCCAGCCATATTTCTCTGAAGCTCCAAGAGCAAGTGATGCTGGCCACTGTGCTGTGTGAAGAACTATTGCTGTGATAATATATATATATATATATATGTATATAGATAATTACCATAACATTTCTTTATTAAATGCTGATTAAAAGTCTAAGTAATTTGTATGCAAATTAATTGCTTTGATTATTATCCTGACAAATGGCCAAGCTGGCCCTTGGCATGGCAGATCTGGCTATTATCCTTGTCAGCTATGCTGTTCTTTGGCCATTGATACCCCAGAAAATGTTGCTGAAAATTTCTCAGCTGGATTCTAAATCTCACAAGATGCAAAACAAGCCCATGTCAGTAAGTGGTAGGAGGGACCCAACAGCTCCCTGGCTGGGAGAGCTGGGTGAAACCTCTCCCTTTCCCTCTTGATCAAAAAAACCATGCATTGTCAGCACAATGTTTGAGGGGCTGCAGACTAGGTCACGAGTGCTGGATGGTTTCTGAAGGATGTTCTTTGCATAGCAACAAGGGAAGAAGCTGGGGGCAATTTTCATTTTCTTACAAACTTCTGCAGGGTAAATTACTGCTTTGGCAATTTTCTTAGCCATGAAAGTGAGTGGGTAGCCCAGCTCCTTCTCAGCTGTGTGTAAAGAGAGGGAAAAATACACAGCCACAGCTAGAGCCTCATGAAGGCAAAATAAATTATTATCTAATTTTTTTTTTTTTAATATTTGTGGCTAAGGAGTTCAAGGTAAGCTATTGAGTAGATGGATTTAGTTTTGATAGCTGAAAACACAAATACTCATCAGTATTTTCCAGAGTAAAAAGAGGTTTTGAATGACAGATTATATCCTCCCAGGCCCTTCCTGGTGACAGCTGGAGGGAGTTGATTCTAGAGACTGAGGCAAGCCCATGATGGTTGTTGCCATCTTTCTGCAGTGCCTGGAGATTGTCAAAAGGCATTAATTCCCATTGTCTGGAAGGTAGACTACACCATCCATACATATCTCAACAACAGTGATGACCCAGGCCAAAGCACTTGAAAACTGCTGGGGCCACATGCTCTGCAGTGCTGTCCTGCAGGGGTGCACTGGAAGGGCCAGTAGGAAGGGCCCTGGTGCTTGGACAGTGGTGTGAGCAGCAACTTTGAGACCTGAGCACTGTTTTACATTGCAGAAGGCAGTCTGTAATGGACTCACTTCCAGTTGGAGTCCCATGGGATAGGCAAAGGGAGGCACTGTGCTCCTGAGGGCAGCAGGGCCCCTGAAGGATCCTTTCCTACACATCCAAGCTGAGAATTCTTTTGTGCCTTGTGGGGACTGGACCACCTCATGGATAGGAATGGGACATCTGTGGTTGTTCTGAGCAGAGATGGCAAAGCCTTGTCGAAGTGGGGCATTGTCATGATATCTCCATCACGTGAATGTCTGGTTTTATGGCTTGAGTTGGATTTCTGAGATGTCCATGTCTCTGGGTTGGATCCAGCCCTCATGACATTCTGGGACTCTGTGGGAAACCAAGGGAGGAGCATGGTCCTGCATCACGTGGGCCAACACGGCCTTTGCCTGGTGCCCAATCACTGCAAAAGCTCTTTCTCCTCATCGCCTGCTGCTCCTTCAGCCCCGGGTTGACATGTCAGTGGCTGAGGATACGTCATCAACGTAAACAAGCTTGCTGGGCTCCATCAGAGCCTAAAAATGGAAGCTTCATTAGCTTTTAAGAGCACAGCTCACTAATGGAAGTGCACACGAGTTCATGGCTGTGCTTGTGATAATAAATTTTCCATCAAAATAAGAGTTTATCATTCTCTCTGAGGACAAACAGAATGGGCTTTGACTATAGCAGCTTCAGGCGTGAAAAAATGACTTGTCTGTTTTTCCAAGGCCTGTCAGTAGCTCTAACAAAAGATGTTTCTATTCCCACAAACTTCAAGACGTTACAGCTAGATTAATAATCCTATTAAGGATTTGCTTGTTTTGCTATTTAGTGTAATAACTTTTTTTAAAAAGGAAAACTTTCCTGCATTTTAAAATGAAAATATAATGGTAGGAAGTAGCACCAGATACATAGACTTCAAATCTCACAAAAAAGCCCACATTAAATCTTGTAGTAGTAAATGGGCTTGGCTATTCAAAAATTCTTTCATATACTGGAGCATTTTCTGTGAAAACCCCCTGCTGGGCTCTTAAAAGCAAATCCACAGAATTTCTGAGTGTTTGGACTTGCTCCAAATTGTGCTACTGAGATAAAAGTGCCTCAAAAAATAAAACCACTACTATTTTATCTTATGCTGATAATATGATCTAATTTGATTGCTGTTTTTTACCATTGACTGCATAAAGTGAATTAGGCTGCCTAAAAGGGACAGGAAAATCGATCATCGGAAACAACCAAAGCAGGTAGTCCATAAGGAAATAATGTCTTCATTCCCTAGGCACTTTCCTGGGAAGGAAACACAATAGTACTTTGTGAGGGCTGAGCTGGTATATAGAAACATCTTTTTTTTTTTTTCCCCTCTTCTTTCCCTCCACATGGGCACTGAACTGGGAAGTTCCTGCATAAAACTGCAACACCAAACTTGAGAGCAGCTTTGGAAGACTGTTTTCAGATCTGAGCTGCTTGATTTCTCATCTGTTACCAAGGTCAGAGCTGTTCCTGGGAGCTACATGGCAACTTCAGCATTACATTGACCAAATATTTCACAAAGGTTATACATGGAAATATATGAGAAAATATACCTCCCCTTCTAAGATGTTTGGCAGTGTATTAAACACTTTCCACTGTCTCAGGAAAGCCCAGCAAGCACACACAAATCAGTGCATATAGTTTGTCAAAGTCTAATGAACTCTTTAGTGGAAATTCTTTGTGGCTTTGTGGGGATTAGGCTAGCAACCACATTTGTGCTTCAAGATGAAATGAATCAGTCTCCATAGGTGACCTGACTTCCAGAGTGTTTTCCTGTCAAAATTAATCTCAAAAGTAATTAGTTATCTGTTGCTTCCTTTCCACTCACCCCCCTCTCCCATGTGCATATGTGTACCTTTGGTAGATCTATCCAGGTCTTTCAGGCATTTCACAAAGTTGAGAAGCAGGAGACCACCTGGCAGGAAAAATATTTGCCATGGGATCCTCTCCTCTCCACTGGACAAACACCATCCTGGTCACTTATGGTTTGCACTGCTTTACCACCTCCCAAGAATGGAAAAAAAAAAAAGAAAAAAAAAGGAGGAAAAACAGAGATTATTTTCTATAAAAGGAAAAAAACTATTATCCTTTATGTGAAAGGAAGAAACTCAAGCATAAAGCACACATCATGTAGAAATTATTAATTTTCCTCAACATTAGAGAGCTACATTTTCCTTGTAAATTTCTGAAGAAAACTCAGACAGTCTATGTAGGTAGAGATAAATCTTCCACCTGCTTCTAATACACTTGGCAGCATCCACAGTGCAGCATCACCACCCCCCCTCCCCCCTTGTTTGCTGGACACTTGGTCCCTGTGTGGGTGCATTTGTTGAAACTCTCCTAATGTTGTTTACATTCATGTTTCTCTGGTTGCCTTGTCTGTCACCAGAGCTGTCCTGATGCTAGGCAGAAAGACAGCACCATCAGGAAAAGCTTCCATGTGCAGCATCTTCCTGATGTGGGACAGGTCTGAGATGGATTAGGAGTTTTTATTACTATGGTTTTTTGTCTGTATCACTCCCCATTATGGTTTGTTTCTTTGGGCAAGCTTGGTAAAGAGTTGCATTGCAGATGGAGGGCTGAGGTACTGAATGCATGCTCTCCAGATGTTTTATTTCCTCATGGAGGCAATGGGAGATCATTGTTTTCACTTTCCATGGCTGGTCTTGGGTAAGTCCCATGGTATTAGCAGGAGAGGCGTGAAGGCACACATGCATCTGTGATGCCAGGATGGGTGAGTACATGTTCCTGCAGAATTGTGATGTCAATGAATTGTTGCTTTTAACTGACTATACAGCAAGCTGCAGATAGCACGATGGAATGGTAAGAACCTAAGTGTTTTCTGTGCAACAACCTGTCTCTTGACCATCCCTTCTCTATGGTGGATCACAAGGTGTTCACCTTTCCAAGGAGCAAAATCGTCATGTATCAAGTCATAATGTTCAAAGAGAAACAAGCAAACATTGTAGAGCTAAGTACTCCTAAATATTCCACCATACTGTAAGGAGAAGAAGAGGTGTCAGAAAGTTTAATGACTACATCTTTCAACATGTCTTTTATCCTCGTACTTGTTCATGTGTTTATTCCTACCCCAATAACAGGGGAACAACTCCTTCCCTGTTTTCAGGACAAGCTACATAACACAGAATAGAGCTACAGAGTGTCTGTATAATCTTTTTCATATCCTCTTGCCTTCAGAACCCGACATGCCTGTTTCAAAGCTGTGCAGCAGCATCTACCACTGCCGAAGCAGCAGGATGCTGTGGCAGCCATAGTCTCTCCCCCCTGCTCCACTTGAAAGGGATTTTAGGCTGGTTAGACTGAGGCATTTCCTATAAATTGCTTCTAGGGTTTCATTTGCTGTAGTGTGGGTCTCTCTGCTTCCCACCCTTGTCATTGCAACTCCCTCTGATCTGTGTGGTCTTACCCAAATCTCCAAACCACAGAACAAATTTTGGGAGAGCACAAGTTGCTGGCTTTTCTGCATGTCTCCAGAATCCCTTTTTTCTACGCTTTTGTGGTTTGATTCACTGCTGTACTCAAGCCTCACTTGTTGTACTTCTCATCAATGTAACCACGTTTCCTGCTTCCCATTTCTCTACAGTCTCTAAGAGCAATCATCTCTTTTTATGAATGCTGATTAAGTCTTGCCCAAACTGGTCTGGAAAACACTGTGGAGCAGAGGTGCCCTTGAATTAGTGGAGGACACGAATGACTGAGGAACAAGCTTTTGAAAAGACTGAGAGCTTTTTCTTTGGCTTCCAGAGGGCCAGTGTCTCTCACCTTCTCAAAAAGCTGCATAAAACTTCAAAGTATTCAAGCAACATCTAAGACATGTCACAGGAAATATTACACTCTACATGCCAAAAATTTTCTGACTACTTTTGA